GTTATAAGGTTCGTTCGGTTTGATAACAAAAATCAACAAAATCAGCTCTTAGATAAATCGATAAATTCGTCTTGATTTCCGAAGTATGACGCAAATTCATTCAGAACAAATGTTATAAACCAAGATGTTATAAACAAGATGTTATAAACCAAGGTTTATAATTGTCAAAACTACAATCGTCAAAACCAGGACCATATCTATCTATAGGTGAACAACTGTTTCCAACGAAAGCAAGGTGTAGACTTACACGGTACATGCCCCACAAAGAGAACAAATTTGAAATTCTGGTTAGCTACCGATGTCAAAAGCAAATATATAGTAAACGACTTCCCATATTTGGGAAAACATGAAAGAAGAGAATCTTCTTCGGAGAGATTAGATTTGGAGAGATTAGCACGCTATCTCTCCAAAAAATATCTATTCAACTAACCCCATCATTTTTATGCAAGTTAAATGATCAGTAAATCCCAGATATTGCAAACAAATCAACCACAACAAAAAAAAAAAAGAAAAAGAAATTCCGTAACAATGGTGCATAACCCAACAAATCGCGATGTAACGAAGATGCATCATCACTTACTGTAAATTCCCAAATATCAGAATGTACTTTTACATGAGGTGATAAAATAGAAGAAATACAAGTTTCCTACATAAAAAATGCCAATAATCTTGAAAGAAACATTAAAAAATGATATTTAAAAAAAATAATTCTTCCATCCTATTGTCTTGAACCAGTTTAGGTTACATCAGGAACGATTTCTGTACTATCACTAATAGAAAAGGTATTTGGGTGGCCAGGTTTTTGTGAAACATCACGTATTATATAATTTAAATAAAGATATGTTGCCTAAAAAATTTGACTTCCTATTTATTTATTTATTACAAGCAAAATTTCTATAAAATCATCGAGTGAGACTTTCAAAGAAGACTTTTGTAACAAGAATTTGTTACAAAATATATTCAGAAACTTTATAACGAAAATATCGAAGAATTATCGTTTGTTGCCATGATCGATCAGATATTTGTGTGATTTTCATCTACAGACTGTATATAGGAAGAGTAAAACAGATACACATTTATCTAGGGCTACATTCAAACAATCTTCGACAGAAGAAGCTGTACGAATGAAAAACACCATGACAACTGCACTCCAAAAATATTTGGTTTCTCAAATTTACTCGGTCCTCTCCTAATCCAGAAACTCCTCGGTGGCGGATCGATATGAATACTTGAGTTATTAAAGAGGAGAGAGTAGGAGAAATCAATTATAAAATTCTAGTTTCAAACATAACCCTTTAAGAGATATTAATAAATATTTCTGCACAATATATTGAAAATGTATATATTTCTATACAGTATATTGGATAGGGAGTTGTAATGAAAGAGCGGCAAAAAAAAACTAGTGCTCACTTATAACTTTATTGATACAAACAATAAAAACTTTGTAATAAACAACAATAACTACTTTGTAACAAAAAATCGGGTATTAAACGCAAATTACTTGTACAAAATATAAAAAATTATTTTATTATTATAAAAATTATAAAAATTATTACAAAGTAATTATTAATATTTATTTTCTATGCTGTTTCATGAAATTCAGAATTTTATC